GTGTGTGCGTGTGTGTGCGTGTGCGTGCGTGTGTATGTATGGGTACCAATGTGCACTTCAAGTGTACTTGAGTAGTACTCAACGTCTTCCAGTTTCCTCTTCCATCATAAGTTCAAGTCTCTCAGCGGTGGCCGTGATTTGCTCTTTAGCCCCACATCTTTGTAGACCCCCATGTCTATCAAGTATCACGGTACTCCCTCTTACATTGTATCTGCCCGACATCCTTTACTAGCTCATTTTCCACAAGCACACACAAACTTGAGACATAGAGACACCTTTCAAAATCCCTTCAAGACCCAAAGGTGCTGGAATCAAGCTACTATTCTGTAACACGAAGCTTCCCCTCTTTGAAATCGATTCTGCTTACCCGACACTCAATAATTTCAGCAAGCCAATGTTCTTGTTCACCGATTCCTTTTCAATAAATCAATTGTTTAGAATAATGTGGAACAATTCCTACAGCTTGTGTCAACACGGTGAAGTTTCCAACAATTTCTCAGCGGGCGACCCTACAACGTCAGGCGTGCTCCGAGCAGACGCTGCCGCTCTGTGCAGCAGATTGCATCAAGAATGTGAGCAAATTTGTCAGGTCAACTGATAGTCCTCCTTTTGTGTGGACAGTCGTAAAAGATCTCAAGCCCCTCCCGCTATTTTGCTGTCGGTTGAACTGTGGGATTCGAGCAAGACTGACAGCACCTCCTCCCCGTCTCGTGCTGGCGTGGAAGTGCTCTCACGCTGGACTTGAGGACGAATCCCGATCTGTCGTCCCATTGGTTGGCCGTCCTTTCACGCGCGCATACGCCCCACCCATTTGGAATGGGGCGGGATTACTGCGGCGCCACTCAAGGATTTGGAAAGTCTCCGCTCTCTGAAATTGTCGCCCTGTCGCTAAGGGCGATGACTCGAGTGGGCGGGACAGAAGTCAACAGAAGTGAGAGCCGATGTGGTCCTTCAGGCCTCGCACACTTTGCAGGTGCTAGAGACTTTCTACCTTGTGGTGCTTACCCCTACCCAACCCATTTTGTTCCAACTTTGCCCTTTCTCCACTCTTTTTCTCTTCCATACTATCTATACAACCTCTCCGCTTCTTTCAAGTAAATAGCCTTCCAACTCCCCCCCCCCCCCCC